TTTATAGCCTAAATAAAGAACGAAATGGAATGGTTAAGTGAATAAAGGTACAGTTAGATGTATAAAGTATACTACGAAGCTATTAAAATCATGTTTTCAAGACTGCATAATATACTATCAAATGTTAAGTAGCAGTATCAGAATAATCTCAATTTTGCTAAAATATTAATATGTATATACAAAGAAAAAAGGGAGAATGAAAAGGTAGTGATACATTAACAGTAGTTCTCTCCAGGATGCAAGTTTTATTCTTTGCTTTGCTTTTCTATATCTTCATAATTTTATAACATATTAGCATTTCTTTCATAATCAGTAAACTGAAGAAACTTTAAAAGTTGAGAAAAATAAGCCCAGTAATTAAAAAATGTTTTAACTTTGATATATTCATCAATTTCTGAAAACCTTTTCAATGACTTATACGAATATGTCAAGTTACAAACACTGAAATTGAAGAAACTTTACAAATGAGGTCACCCATTTTTTGTTCTTTAGATTTCTGTTCCAGAGAGCTGGTATGCAAAATCTAGCTGGCATGCAAAAAATTGGGTGGTAACTATGTACACTCAGTTGCTAAGACTTATTTACGATGTTCAGTGATTAAAAAAACCAATAAGGTTCTTTAACCATTACTAATCCGAAAAGTAAAAATGAACATTTATTTTTAGGAACAATGATGTTTACATGGTATTCAAATTTTAATGGTATAAACTATTAGTCCATAAACGAAACACATTATTATTTAAATTTTTAGTTTTTTCTGGGATTACAGAGTAAGGCCACGTAGCCTCTTGTGTGTACATATGTGTGCGCATGGGCATGTGCATTTGACTGTAGTTGAGTGGAATGTTTTCCACTTATTTTGTGTTATTTCTCTCTTAAAAAATATACCATAGCTACCATGACTTCCAATATTACTAGCATAATTTATTAAGCACTCATTACATGTTAATTAAGTTCACGGTTCTTCTTAAATCCTATCATGAAGTATAATCTAATATCCTCACTTTAGAGATGGGGGAACAGCCATAAAGAAGTGAAGAAACCTGTGTAAGGCTACTCAGCTTGTAGATGGCAGAGCTGGTATCTGGATCCTGGCCATTTAGCTCCAGGACCAAAATTCTTAATCACCACACAATATAACTTCACATATTATGAACTACTATGTATAAAAACAATACAAGATGGCAAGCATCAAAATCACTTAGGACGTTCTAGGTTGCAAAAGCACTCCAGAATACTGCAGATCAGAGAATCTGAAGTGATGTTTAGAATTACTTAAGAAAAATAAACAAGAAGCCAAAAAGTAAAATTAGTTTCTCTAAAGGTTCTTTAGAGTGTGTAAACAGAAAGTGAGGTAGGGTGGGAACAGCTGCAAAAGTGTGTATTTCAGGAGAAAGAGTTTGAAGGTAGGGGTTGGAAGGCCTGAATCTTAGCTCTGGTTTAATTTAATTTAATCTAATTAATAGCTTGACTTAGAAAAATTCCTTAAGAAGGTACGATACCTTCTCTTCTCTTCCATATAGGATTGAGAATAAATGAGAATACAGAAAAGAAACAAATCACCAATGATAACCAATATGCCAAAGAGAGTACTGTTGTTCACTGCTGAGTGTGGATGGATGGCGTGTCTCCATAGCACTCGTGAATGTGGTGTTCACAGGTATGTGGCAGGTGACTGATGTTTATGCCATTCTCCCTGTATATTTCCTACCCCAGGAGCTACTGCAATTCAAACCATTGTTTGTACTATTTTCCCTCTTCTCCAGCTAACATGGCTTTAAGTATTCCTTTCTTCTATCATTTTAAACAATTCCTAAGGTGAAAAATTCACTTAAAATTCTTTATATAATGAATTATATGCCTGAAATTGATCTTGTCATTTGGTATAAAATTATTTCAGAAGTCATATAGTAGAGAGAAAGATGACTCACAAAAGCAGATTTTTAAATATGCTATTTGAATTATGTTTCCATGTAAACAATTAGCAATATCAAATTATTGGAAACTGGATATACACACATTGTTATGGGTATTCTAAATTACTGGATATATACACATTGTTATGGGTATTCTAAATTACATGTTACATTTAAATAGGTACCAAACACTCTAGATTTAGAATGACACGCTATGAAGACAAAGTCTCTGTGCTTCATAAACATAAACTAGTTGTTCATTGGCATTTTAATTTACAAAGGACATATTACATTGGAGGCAAGTCAGTTCAGCCTTTCTGTATGAAAAGATAGGTGTCAATCTATGATAACTACAGAGGCAGCCCACTTGGCTTGTCTCCTGTTAGGAGCTGCAGCTCAAAGCCCAGGTGGCAACATGTTCCCAGTGCAACTTAAAATACCAAGTACCGTGTCAGTTCCTCAGAGTGGACCTTAGGGAACTGGACATCAGCATCCCTAACCATGGTAAGTTTGTACCATGAGCTCCATTTTTTTTTTTTTTTTTTTTTTTTAGCAGCTGGAGATTTGTAGAAGCCAATACAGGATGGCCACGTTATTGACACAACACAGTCCACAAACCCATCCCATTTTAAAGAGAATTTTTAACTTTAAAGGTAGACTTATATACTGTGAAACTGTGACACCCTGGTCATGCTATTCACGATATAAAATAGTGTAGGCAGACCAGGCGCAGTGGCTTATACCTGTAATCCTAGCACTTTGGGAGGCTGAGGTGGGCGGATCACCTGAGGTCAGGAGTTTAAGACCAGCCTGGCCAACATGGAAAACCCCAACTCTACCAAAAATGACCAAAATTAGCTGGGTGTGGTGGCAGGCACCTGTAATTGTAGCTACTCAGGAGGCTGAGGCAGGGAGAACTGCTTGAACCTGGGAGGCGGAAGTTGCAGCAAGCTGAGATCACACCACTGCACTCCAGCCTGGGCAACAGAGCAAGACCCCGTCTCAAAAAAAAAAAAAAAAAAAAAAAAAAAAGTGCAGGCATATTTACTCTTGTAGTTCGGGCAAATTCTCATAGCTGTAGATAATGGAGCAGACCTTTCCAAGTGGGGGTCCCCTTCTGAGGAGCGATAACACCTTGGGTGCCCCTTGGGGTCGAGTTTGTTACCATCTATGTTGATTTTGTTTGACTGCTCTACTAGTGGCTAATGGAATCTTCCAGGTCATGGCTTGTTTTATTTTCCAGATGTATTTAAATTAAGCACTTGAAAATTGTGTCATCAGTTTAAAAAAGCCCATTCTTTATGTTTGCTGAATAAAAATTAGCTTAGGCAACAGCTGCACCTAGCTTAAAGTACATTTTTGATCATATACTAATACTACAGTCTTAGATTGTAAAAGCAGTAATACAGTAAGTACCAGGTTGGATGTGGGGAAAAGATGTACATACACACATGTATGTAAATAATGTCATTAACCAAGATGGCTCTCAAGTGATCAGTCTATTTGAAAAACAAAAAATTTGAAGAGTGAAGCAGCTACTACTTCTTTTTGAGGAAATAATGCAGACTTCATGATTAGGAGGTTTTCTCCTTGTACTGGATACATTTTCCTTTACATTATTTTATTTATTACTTTTAGTTACCATTTTAGGTTACTTCTCAAAAATCATGTTTCTCTTTGCTATCTTTTAATTGTTTCTAGATTATTATCAGCACTGTCTCTTTTTTCTTCCTTTCTCTTCCATTGTCTCAACCTTTAGTCATTATTTGATTGGCAACTATGGATTTGATATTTTCAATCTTTCATTATAAGTTGTTTTTTTTCAAATTCAGTTGGTTTTTAAATTCTTCCAATTATCTCTTATTTTTCTCATTCATAATTTGTCATATTCATCTTCCCTTTGGTCTATCATTTAAAACAGCTTCAGCTATTATGTAATAGAAACTTTATTTAACTATTTCTTTTAAATTATAAGACTCTAATAACATTCATGCAAAAGGACATATTGCTTTAATCAGCAATATTAAAATTATGTTCTTATACGAGATAAACTTTAAATATTAAAAGTGAAAAGTACCACCATCACAGAGCTTGTGATGTAATTATAAAGCATGTTCTTGCTCTTACGCAGAGAATCTATCTACAAATTAACAACTAATAAAAACAAAGATTGAAAAGAAAGCATTCTCTTAATATAAGGAAAAAGATAATATAGACAAAATCATGGCTTTTATGAAAAGTAAAATCCACTTTTAGGTAAAAACATATACTATGTAATACTTTTTAATTATTTACTCATTTGTTTATGTATAATATTATATATTTTCATTAGCAGGTTAAAACACAATAGCAAAAATGTAAATCTGACTATTCCTCAGTTATATATATGTCAGGCTTTACTTTCTGTTGAACTCGTTCCTTCCAAACAGAGTAGGACTTAAAGAAACTTCTCTTAACACAAATAAGGATTTTTTTTTTAAAGGGCCACAAAATGAGCATTTAATTAAAACACACACACCTGCACACATTTTCTTTAGGCTGCTGAAATATCTGGTCTTTAATTCCCCATTAAAACAACACAAAACCCTGATTATAAGTTTTCAAATCATTTGAAGATGTAAAAAGGCTGTCTGCATTTCAGTCTAGTTCAAAGCCGGTAAAGAAATATCTCTTCTTCTTCCAACTAAAAGTATGTTTAGGAGAAGGATATCTGATAGAAGTGGTAATGCTAATCTAACCAATTTTAAAATATAAAGTGCTTCTAGCAATATTTGGATACATATAATTGGAGAATAACATTTTATAAACTGAAGCTTTGAAAAATAGAAACTATAAGCCTCAACAACAACAAAAAAACTTAATTTGTAATTGAAAGAAAATAATATTTTGTAGGGAAAAAAGTGTCCTTCCAAAGAGACGAAAATGACTTTTACTTCCCAAGAGAATTATGCCACTTTTATACAACAAAATTACAGTCACCACAAATTGCTTTCAACAATTCCATTGCTTCTTCATTTGACCACTTGAAAATCAAAATTCTTTCATATTATAAATATAACTTTTTATAACTCTGTTATTACGTACTGTGAATGGGGAAAGTGGGCCAATCTTGTGGCTGTAGCGTCGAATGGCCTCTCTGATGTGGCAGGGCTGGATGGCATTGCTGTGAGCCTCAACACCACAGGCTGCAGTGCTCTGTGACAGAAAAACACATAAATTGTTACTAAATCAAAAACACACAACAGAACTACAGTTTATAAATATGAAAATAAACCTTTATAAAAGAGACCGTTTTTTCCCTTAGGATGCACATCACTATTGCCATATACTACATCTAAAAAAAAAAAAAATTCCATTAACAAATCAAAGATGACTTTTACATGACCCCTTCCTCTCAGACCTACCAAATGCAATTTTTATGCCCACAATATTTCACCTAAGCCTGCATGTCAAGACACAGGAGAATACAGCCTGTAGATAAAAAGTGTCATGAGAGCTTACTGAAAGAACCACAGGAAGTTACTGTCTTTTTTTAAAAAAACACTTTAACATGATTATAAATGTTTCTTAGGAGCTTCTTGGACACCTTTCTGAAACAACTTGAGGGTCATCAACTTAAAATGAAAAATGTAAAATTGCTATACATTTATTTATCATACCTGGGATTGTCATAAAACACCATTTCAACTTGGTTTCTAATTTTCTAGGTATCTCAGGACAAAACAAAACAAACCAAGAACTTTGTTTTAATTTGCCTCATCTGTAAAAGGCAGGTTTGCAAGCACAAAAAGATACAACAAAGAGAAGAATTATTCGCAATGAGAGTGTGAATACCAATGTAAGCACGTGTATGTTAATTGCAGCACTGTTTACAATAGCAAAGACCTGGAACCAACCCAAATGCCCATCCATGATAGACTGGACAAGGAAAATGTGGCACATATACACCATGGAATACTATGCAGCCATAAAAAAACGATGAGTTTGTATCCTTTGTAGGGACATGGATGAATCTGGAAACCATCATTCTCAGCAAACTGATACATGAACAGAAAATCAAACACCGCATGTTTTCACTCATAGGTGGGTGTTGAACAATGAGAACACATGGACACAGGAAGGGGAGCATCACACACTAGGGTCTGTGGTGGGGGGAACTAGGGGAGGGACAGCCGGGGTTGGGGATGTTAGGGAGGAATAACATGGGGAGAAATGCCAGATATAGGTGATGGGGGGATGGAGGCAGCACACCACATTGCCATGTATGTACCTATGCAACAAGCCGACATGTTCTACGCATGTACCCCAGAACCTAAAGTACAATTTTATATATATATACACACACACACACACACACACACACACATACACACAGACATATATACACAAATTATACATGTGTATACATGTGTTTAGCATGATTTTTCAAAATAACTTACAGGGCTAGGATCTAGCCCTATAAGGTACTAGGCTCTGCCAAGATCCATAATATCTCAGGCCTTGGTTTTCTCACCTGTAAATTGGGAAAACAATTATAATTGCTTGTAGGACTTTGTGAAAATTAAGTTGAAACACATAAACCACTTAGAACAATGCCTAACACATGCTAGGAAATTGTTTTATTTTTTATAAAGAGATGATGTTTCATTTTGTCACCTAGGCTGGAGTGCAGTGGTGAGATCACAGCTCCCTGAAGCCTCAAACTCCTGGGCTCAAGTGATCCTCTGACCTCAGCTTCCCAAGTAGCTGAGACTAAAGGCACGTGCCACCATATCTAACTAATAATAATGATAAAAGGATTAATTTTAACTTTCCCTCCGTGTTAAAAACGGAGTCTTGCTCTGTCACCAGGCTGGAGTGCAATGGTGCACTGGAGTCCAATGGTGCAATCTCAGCTTACTGCAACCTCCGCCTCCTGGGTTCAAATGATTCTTGTGCCTCAGTCTCCCAGGTAGCTGGGAGTACAGACATGTGCCATCACACCCAGCTACTTTTTGTACTTTTAGTAGAGACGGGATTTCACCACGTTGGCCAGGATGGTCTCGATCTCCTGACTTTGTGATCCGCCCGCCTAGGCTTCCCAAAGTTCTGGGATTACAGGCATGAGACACTGTGCCTGGCCAAAAAGATTAATTTCTTTAGAGACAGGATCTTGCTATGATGCCCAGGCTGATCTTGAACTGCTAGGCTCAAGTGATCCTCCTGCCTCAGCCTCCTGGGTAATGTTAGATATTAATAGTATTAGGTTATTTAAATTAAGTGTTAAAAATGGGACCTCTATGTTTTTGAAATGGTAAGCTCATTTACTTCAAAGTACAGTAGGTAGCAGATACCAGGTCATCAACATTAAAGAATCAACTTGCATATTACTATGACTGGGGTCTACAGGTCATTTGTAGTCACATAATAATTAATATTGGTTTTTCTGATAATTACTATAATTTTTCTGATAATTATCATTTTTACTCTAATAATTCTCTGTAGGCAATATATTTCTATGGACAGCAACCTCTATGGATGGCAATTTGGCAAAATCTCATCAAAATGAAAATGAACAATCTCTTTGATGCAGCAATTTCATCTGTAAGAATTTATCCTACCGATAGATTACACAGGTACAAAATAATATATATATACATAAGGATATTTATAGTACTAAATGTTCATCAGTGAGGGACTGGTTATATAAATTATGATACATCCATTCAAAGAAACAGAAACCACAGCAACCACTGAAAAGAATGAAGCAGTTCCCTATGTACTACTATGGAGCTCTAAGACATTATGTGAAATGACATGCAAGGTATCTGCCCAGGTGGCACTATATTACCATTTGTTCAAAAAAGGGCTATTATATACTAATGTAAGGACAGAACATTTCCACAAGGGTAGTCAAAAACAAGTAGCAGTCCTTATCTTTTGGAGGGTAAATGGGTGGTCAGAGGACAGGGGTTAGAGGAAAACTTAATTTTCATTGTATGTTCTTCTATAGTTTTAAAATAGATTTTCTATATCATGTGCATGCTTTTCCTATTGTAAATTAATATAATAATTCAAAAATTCCCTCAAGAGTATTTGCTAATTATCTAAGGTGAACCTGAAATAAAGTATAAAACAAAACAGATCTTGATTATTTTTGTTATTTTAACAAGATTTGAAACTAGTTTCATACAAATTTACTCTAGGGTGCCCTTCTCAGCTTCATTCCAACAATACCCAAAATAATATATTTGCCATGCCCATAATAACACAGATTAAATTCTCTTAACTCCTATTTTGGCATCAATATGAAAATGCATAAGGTTTCCTTGAATGCTTTCTCAATTATCATTTCAATTTTTTTGCTTCAGTTGGAAAATATTAGAATAAATACAATTACCAGATACCTTGAATAAATGCCATTATTGGGTCCCCGAGTCCACTCTGCTCTATAATATGAATATGATTAATATAGACTCATTTGTTCACCTGTGAGTGTAACAGATACTTGTGAACTAGGTTGAGGCATTCTATACACTTGTGAGAATGCATGCAAATATTTAGTTGGATTTGGAATATAAACTAAGTTTTCCAGTGAAACTTGGGTGGAAATATAGAAAGAGAGATATCAAGAGCCATGAGTATCCCATAGAAGTCATTCCTTGTGTTCCTCATGGTATCTCCTAAATTCACTCTTTTATCTTCACAAATTAGTTTATTTTTCATTTGCTTTCTGTATGGTCAATAGAGATAATACTTTTACTTTACCTTCCCACATAGATTTGGTTTTGATATGGAATATGTTGGTCAAAATCTCTCAGAACTTCTACCATGGAAATTAAATAGGAGTTGATAACACTAAAGTAGGAGGTTTACTATGATAAATCTTTGTGTTCCCCTAAAATTTGTATGTTAAATCTGAGCCCACAAAGGGATGGTGTTAGGATAAGAAGCCTCTGGGAATTTATTGAACCATGAAGGTGGAATTAGTCTCTTTATAAAATAGATCACAGAAAGACCACTCACCCCTTTTGCCATGTGAGGTTTGAGTGAACGGATGACTGCCTATGAACCAGGAAGTGAGCCTTCAAGAAACACTGAATTTGTCAGTGTCTGGATCTTGGACTTCCCAGCCTCCAGAACTGTGTGAAATACATTCCTACTGTTTATAAGTCATCCAGTTTACAGGATTTTGTTATAGCAGCCCAAATGGACTAAGATAGAAGCGTAAGTTAGAAAAACCTTGTGACTGCCATTTCTAAGATATGGAGACATATAAGCCAGTCTGGTTGAATCATGCTATTTTTTCCAAAAAGGTGACATTAACTTATAGTAAAATAAAAATATTGAATTTTATGAAAAATGTCATTAGTTTCCATTTTGCGAATTTCAGGTACATCTGCCATAATTCAGCAACTGCTAACATTAGCATAATGAAACTACTAGGTGCACTTTTGTGCTTGCTTGGAAGCAAGCCTTTAAATGTTATAATCCCAGTTTTTTTTCCACCTCAACAAGTATCTTCACATTCCCTTCATCTGTCAACATCTAGTCCTTTACCAAGGTGCTAATCTATTCAAATTTAAAATGTATCCCAAGTTTAGAATTTTTAATATAGCAGTGATTCTAGCATAATATTCTTCAAAATTGTTTCATAAAAATTAACATAAAAGGTACATATTTGTTATTAATAATCTTGTATCTGCTATAAATGCAGGTGAAGAGTATTATACATCAATTCATCTTTAGCATCCTGATTAGGCCCACATTTTAGGATATTCTTTAAATTTTCAAAAATTAAACCCAAATATTTGACAAAATATCCAGTCTTGTCTATAAAGTGCAGAAATCTCTCTGGGAACTAAACCCTGTTTCTTTAAGAAAAATTATTGGCTGTTTGGAAAAGTTCTCCATATGTCAGGTCCTCTTCCTCTTGGCTGCATTCACACTATATTCTTGAATCCTTCCATTTTTGTATTTTCATCTCTTCAACTAGAAACCGATGCTGGGTATTAGAAGCTGAAATAGCATATGGAGTTCTATATATTTTCTGGATTTGACTCTTATTTCTCTCCTTTTCTTTGCTGGTTTACATGGAACAGAATCTCTAGCAGTTTAACCTGTGGTGCAGGAAGTTATACTGAAACTTAGTTTGTCCCTGAATCTCTCGCAAATGTTAAGCACCTGTACTGAGTCTTTTCCTTCCAAGTCAAAAG